AGTAGCACAATATGTGGTATTTAGTATGTGTTTAATCTCTCTTTTGTTTTTAAACAGATCTTCTTCAACTGGTAGCAGCTTTAAGAATTAAGTGAGGAGAATTGTAAAAGTAAAAGTAAATGAGAGAAGCCAATGTAATGATGCTTTATACTTACATATAAGTTTTCTGTTATTTGGAAACTCAAGGGCTGTTGCTTTTGGTTGCCAAATGTTAGGCTGATTGCTTTCAAGGTGAAGCTGTACTGTGCTGCTTTGAACTGATACTGCATGATTAGGGTAATAAGTAAGTGCCACTTAATTGGAACAGGCCTGATCAGAAGACATTCCAGGTAACTGATTTAAGCCAAACAATACTTAATTGCAATGACTGTTGCTTAATGGGCATGGTAATTATGTGCATTGGGGATACCTTCAAATGATTCATTGGTGGTTGGGTCTTTTGTGTCTCCCTCACTGTTGGCTCTTTTTCCTGTTACTCAAAACAGCTTTCAGTGTCTTCGTAAATAGCCATGATTCATTCAGAAAGCAGATAAAAACCATGGTTGGCTTTTAATAAATCTGTGCCAGAGGTTTAAAATAGACTTGTTTAAAATCATGATGCCTCTAAAGATTTTTGAAGACTTTTTTTATTTGCTTTCAAGATTTTGAACTGTTGGGTTTGCTTTTTCAATTTTCTATGAGATCAGGAATGTTAGAAATGGAAATAAGAAAAGACAAGTCACATAATTTCTTGGCTTCTGGATCAGGGCAGACTCTAACATCATGAGACTTAATAAATCATAAAAGTTGATATGTTCTCTGCCCTTGGCAAATCATGGACTTGCTTTAGTTCTGTCATATTTTCTTCTCAGGATTGCTTGTTTTTTTCTGCACAAGCCTACCTGAAGTGTTACGAAATAAACTTTACAACTGAGGAAGCCCCCCTTCTAGTTAAAACTGAACAAAGAAAAAAACAGGTCCTTTACCCACTTTTACTCAAACTTTGGCCTGAGACGTTTGCACTTTCATAATTTAACCTTGCTCTGCCTACCTTCTCTGTTGCTTTATTATATCGTCAGTATGAGGTGCTGATATTTCCAGCTTCAATTGCTTTATTTCTGTCTACTTTTTCCATACACATTTTCATACTTCTACACTGATTTTTTTGCGGCAGACCCAGGTGTTTATATGGAATATTGCGGAGAGATGTAGTATTTTCTGATTAGTCTGGCAGATGATTTTTCTTCTGATGCTAATCTTACTTTTTAATTTTTAATTCCAAAAATCTCATGCTTCCATATTTTTCAGTTTTCTGTCTTGTTTATAAAGTGAACATGTTGGATTAACAGAAGTAAAAGTGTTTCAGTTTAAAAGACTTAAAATATTTCCATTTGTTATTTCTAGAATAACAAGTGCTTTTATGTTCTTCCCCCCTGCCTTACTACTTCCGGCACTTGACTTGTGGGTAGATTTTGACAATGGCTCCTGCAAGAAGTGATTTTCAGTGACAGGAATATGTTTAAGACATTTTCATTATTTAAAAACCAGACGCATTTCTGTCAGCAAATTCTCTGCACATAAGAAAGAAGGACGGTATTTTTATCGTGGACCTCAAGAACACTATATTACAGAAACACAGATCACAGAATATTCTGACTTGGAAGGGACCCACAAGAATCAAGTCCAGCTCTTAAGTGAATGGCCTGTACGGGGATCAAACCCACAACCTCGGCGTTATTAGCACCATGCTCTGACCAACTGAGCTAATCCCTAATTACGTTTCTTCGCTCTGCACCTCTAAAATGGTAGACAGCATTTTCAAAATGTCTCTCTATTTTGGTGCTTTTATTATGCTTCCACCCTGCCTTGAGATTCACAGAAGAGCCTGATTTGCAGTGGATAGAGATGTAGTACTTTCAGAAAGTCTAGGCTTCTTTAAAGTGTCTAAAGGTTGGTACTGTTGTCTTATAGAAATTAAAAATGGAACCAAAATTATTTAAAACACACTTGCAAGACCACTTAGTTTAGTAAATTTGATGTCTCTAAAGCACATTAGTGAGATCTAGACCCTTATTTTGCTAGGAATTGTACTTACTAATATAATCTCTTTTAAGTCAAGGACTTGTATTAAAAAAACCCAAACAAGTAAATTAATAAATAAGAAAATCATAAATCTAATTTAAAACATAAATCCAACATTGCCAATGTAATAGCGTATTATTCTACTTCTCTGATGTATAAATAAACACACATTTTTATCACAGCATGACTTTCACTTCAGTGCAACATAAATGCAATTCTTTCATCAGTAATTTCCACTTATATACACAAATCTTGAAGTAAAAGCAGTCATAAAACATAGCTGAGTTAAATCTGTTGGCCAGTCTACAGAATATATGTACTTCTTTTTGTAACTGATTTTATAGTTTTTCCCTTTTGCTGTACTAAATATTGCTGTTGAGAGCAGTAATTTTAAATATTTGGAGTAAAATTAGGAATAGTTACAATGTTTCTCATTTAGTAACAGATTTTAAAATAAAGGCCAAAATTGTTAGAGAGTTAAAAAGTAAAATAGTTTGTTTTAAGCTAGCAGAACTGTTAAATAGGTTGTAATTTGGTGATTTGGCCAGAGTACAGTTAATGTAGGCAGAGATGGCTGACTTCTGCTGAGGACCTACCCACTGCCTGTATGGGAATTAGAGTTCCTTCACTTGTCGGTGCATTGTGGAGCTGTTTCAATGAAATGCTGCAATTTATTTTTAAGGTTTCCAGACTCTCTATCAAAATCTGTCCCTTATTGGTTGGAGTGTCTGTTGAGACTGGAAGTTACCTGGCTCAGCCTGATGGCTGTGGCTTCTTGTGTAAGGACGCAAGAGGAATGACGTAAGGATGCTCGCGGTGGTGTGAAACCGTGTTACAAGATGTGGTCCCATAGCAAATGCGGTTTTTTGCCTAGCTGTCAGTATTTTAAAGGTCCTTTTGCCTCTCACCCAGAAGGAGGGTGCTTCCATCTCTCTTCTCTTCCTCCTATACCTGGATATTTTATTACTGGTGTGTTGCTGGGGGGGAGTGGCAGCAGCTATGGTTACAGGCCATTGAGGCTGCAGCAGAGGTGCTGTTTTCATCACTGTACTCCATCTTACAATGCAGACAAGCTCGGTGTGTTTCTCACTTGTGCTGTTTCTGATGCAGTTGTTTTGGGATATGAGGCCTTTCATTTTTTCGTAGCCATCATAATCTCTCTCTTTTTATCCTCCCTTGGCATGTCAGAGTGCAGGAAGGAAGAGTGGATGCCCAGAGGACCTTGTAGTGTGAGTGGTACGTGCATGATTTATGTAGTACCTTACAGAGCTGTGTACTCTGAGGTGGAGAGTGCAGGTTACCATGACTTACTTGGTTGAGACCCCTTATTCAGGGGAGAGGTGACTGCATATCTTCATGGGAGATGGTGGGGGAAGAGCAGACAATAGGCTTTCTGTGTTGGTTTCAGCTTGTTTACTGTGGGAATTGTAGCTGAATAGAATCTTTTGAAAGCTTTGTTACGTGAGAGAAGATAAGTGCTCTCATGAAACACTAGTAAGGATGTAAGAAAAGACACAAAGGGCCATGTAAAAAAAAATGGAGAAATGGGCCATCTCTAATATAAGAGACACTACTACTAGATTCTGGTAGTGCTTCTAAAGTCATAAATTGATAATGCTATTAGTGTTAGATGCCGGAACTGCTGTTGGTGTCCAACAGCAGGACTGATTTTCCCACTGGGAGAGAGAGTCCTGCTGTACCTGTGGAGAAAAATGTATTAAAAATATGAAAACCAGTGAATTACGTTGTTGTTTGGAAAATACCGACGTATACTTTACACAATGCCTGCACTATTGCATTTCAAACACCTTCAGATATGTAACCTAGAGCAAATTAGGAGAGTGTATAGTACTGGTTTGTATTAGGCACTCAGATGGTATATAGAAGGGCATAAAAAGGAAGGGAAAGGAAACAGACAAAGGATTTGAGGTATTGATAGCTAAAGGATAAATGAGAGCTGGTTTTCCATCAGGGATGGAAACTCAAGTAGGAGAATGCAGAAAGTGTTTTCTCCTTCAGGGAAGAACAAACTCTGCTTAGTGGTATTGCTTGCTTAAGTAGCAGACCCAGTCATATGTGGGCACCCTCTTAAAATAGGCCATACACAAATGCCAAATGAAAGATAGTACCTGCCTGATAGAGCTTACCCTGCCAATATAATAGAAGATATGATAGGCGAGTGCAGGCAGGTGGGGAGGTGCAAGGAGACATTGAAATGTTGATCTCTAATCTCTGTATTTACTAATGTACTGGTCCTGCTCTGCAAACAGACAGGACAGAGACCTGTGCTCTTGAGGACCTGGTGCTGCAGTTGTTTTCTCTTTGGCGTGGGGGGGTTACTTGGGGAATGTGTCAGAGCTGCTCAGGCTTTTAGGAAAGACACATAAGGAGACTTCTGACAGCCCTGAGACTTAAGTCAGCACCTACCTGTACCAGTGGTACAACTAAGACTTGTATCAATATAATGAACGCCTCAGTAAGGCAAGTAGAATTGGAGAGGTGTCATAGGACAACAGGTGAAATAACAGTTTGAGGTCTCTGTACTCTTAGAGAAGTATTACTTCAGTGACTCTGCTAAGGAGTGTGTAACGACTCACCTGCCGAATCAACTAGCCCTGAAAATGGATGGTGCTGGAGTGTCGGGCCCACACCTGGCCCTGCCGGCAGTGCGAAGCCTGCGGGGGCTAGGCCGTGACGATAGGAGGGCCGCTGCGGTGAGCCTCGAAGCCTGGGGCGCGGGCCTGGGTGGAGCCGCCGCGGGTGGTGGTAGTAGCAAATATTCAAACAAGCGCTTTGAAGGCCAAAGTGGAGCAGGGTTCCATGTGAACAGCAGTTGAACATGGGTCAATCGCCTAAGCGATAGGCGAGAGCCATTCCAAAAGGGCAGGCGATGGCCTCTGTTGCCCCTAGCTGATCGAAAGGGAGTCAGGATCCGGAGTGGCTGGTTAGCTCAGTTGGTTAGAGTGTGGTGCTAATAACGCCAAGGTTGCGGGTTCGATCCCCCTACGGGCCAAGGGATACTTTTAGACCATGGTGAAGCAGGCTGTCCCCCTGAAGTCCATGGAAGGGTGACCCACAGGAGAGCAGACTTGGAAGACCTATTGCCCTATGAGTGGACTTCTTTTCCTGCACTGATGCAGGGGGAGGAGGGAGAACAGGGAAGGAAGGAGGCGTGGTTGGAAAGTGTGTTTAAGACTGTTTTATTTCTCCCTCTTTAGCTCTTATCCTGTTAGTAATAAATTTTAGTACTATCCTCATGTTGAGTTTTGTTTTGCCTGTGTGACTGTGTTTTGCCAGCTCTTAGTGATTTTAGTGAGTGCCTAGAATACGGCCAGGGTCAACCCATGACACTGTACTAATAATTTCTTTGTGGTTATACAACATACTTTAGCTTTAGATGATTGAAGCAGAGCATTCCACAAACATTGTGATTTTAGTATAGTGTATCCGTTTTTTACTTGAACTTATACTTCTATCTTGTTCTAAAACAATGTGTCAAACTTTACAGAAGGTGTCATATATGTCAATAGTTGTGTACTGAAGAAATGCTCTCTGGCTCCCAAAAGAGCAGTCTCTATTAAAACAGGCACCAGGAGGTCACCTCAGGTCATAAGCTGTGTGGAAAACATAAAACCATTCTGACTTTTCCAAAAGTTTTTGTATACAAACAAGTAACAAGGTAAGGTATTCAATATATTTGATTCCGTTTCAGACTTCTGTAAACAAAAAACCTGCAATCCCAATCTAGTAATCTGATAGTATACAAAAAAACCCTGTCAGCATGCATCATCTTCCCCCCCCCGCCCCGGTTCCCCCAATTAGGTACAAAAATCTCAATTTTGTTCATGTTAATATCAGGTAAACTCTGCATTGTGAACCTTACAATGTAGTGTTATGCAAAGAACCAAGTTCATTTTGGGAGATTCTCATATTGCGAAAGGGTGAAAATATAGTTGTGTGTTTGACAGCAGATAATCTGGTAACATTTGGGTAACTTTGTTTACCACTCAGGAGGTCAGTGCAAGCAGCTAAGCTGTTGGTTCCATGTACAAATAAGTAGATCCCACTAAATGACAGTGATAGAGTGTTGCAGATTGGACCTCATTTTTCATTTCCTGCTTGTAGAATAGTTCCATTCAAATCCCTTCTTTTTTAGGATTTGATGTATTGCAACCCATGTATTTTGAAGTTAAATAATGAATATCTGTGAAAATTAGGTATGAGCAAATCAAGTGGAGAGCATTTGGAAAATGTAAAATGGTTTTTAGATTCACAGAATTTATCAACTTTTTGGAATTTTTTTTTTTTACTCCCAAGAATAAGCACTGTATTATGTCCAGGAAACATCAGTTGTGGCAGGGAATGGGAGAGGGAGAGTCAAGGGGAGAAGAACAGGTTTATCTGAATAGAAGTTCTGTGCAGATGCTGAAGAAAACGAAAGATGATGTTGCATGGCAGAGTTAATCTGTTTCAGCAAGTATATATACTGTAGATGGAATAGCAGCTGAATTGCTGTAGAAATTAATTTGCCCCACACAGAATAAGTTGAATAATTTACTAGAATAAACATGCAGGGCCATGATGGGAAGCCATCTATTCAGTGTATCTGTAAAGAGACAAAAAATTAAAGTAGTCTTGTAACATGCTCTTTGCAAGCAGAGGGAAGACATAAAAGGATTTCTTTCATGAAAAAATGTGTATATGATAGGATAGAGAAGTAGAATGGGGAGAAGTCATGCTGCCATCTTGAGCAAATATGGATACTCAGAAAAATGGACTCGCCAGCTCTGGCATCTGATAATATAAAGGAAGAGTTTTTAGTGTTGCTCCTCATATTGATGGATGTTTCTTTTGTCTAGAGGACGGAACTACTGGAACCTTAAGCAATCTGTCCCTGGAGCAATGCAGCTGTGTACTGTTCCTAACCTAGCACCTGTGGCAGTTGTATGTGGGTTCTTTGTGATGGCCACAAAGCTTGTATGGTTCCTACCAATAATACAGTGTTGGAATATAGTGTTCAGTTAGAATAACATCTAATTTTATTTTCCTTCTCAGCGAAGTAATAGAATGTCCTAGGTCTCCAGCAGAAGCCTGACAGAGGGGGAGCAAACTCCTTGTGTATCATCTATGGAATGAGGCCTTTGCCTGCCATCCTGACTGGAGCAACCTGCTAGTGCATTCTGTGGGACTGGGGAGCAGCAGGAGCAGCCTGACAGAGGAGAGGAAACTGTGATGGCTTTCATTTGGTCTGTATCAGAAGATGCTTATGTCTTTTGCAAAGTATTGAATGATTAATTTCCAGTAGGACCAATTGAATCAGTACATTATTAAGGAGATAGAACCCTGATTTCTTTGTTACAGCCTGATGTCACATCAATAAGCACACATGCACAGCTGTCTCCAGTTTTCTCCAGAACATTATGGAAGTGTTATATTGGAATTGGCTGTGCATGTAAAACATACCCTGTGAGACAAAACGTGTTTGTGGTGTTGGAGAGCTTTCCTGGCAGCTGAATTTGGTGAAGTGTATTTACTTGAGGTGGAATGCGTCTTGGGAGATGTTAACCAGGAGTCTCTACACAGCTGTTTGGGCTCCCTTAGTAGCTTCAGAAAAGATGTGTCCATAGAGCGACTGACCCTCAACTGGTGGTTGAATTTTAATGCACTTGTTAAAATGCATTACTTCTACATGGCTGAAGGTGACATAAAATTCATCTTTACTGGTATGATGGCAAATAGTTTCATTACAGTGACTAGTAACTGGGCACTCCTGTGCAGGTAAGCGTGTTTGCCTTCAGACACACTATAACTGGCATATTAGAGATGAGAGCTGATGTTACCAATGTTGGACTGCATGCTAAAAGAGTTGGCAGAAATATTCTCTGAAGTTACAGAGAGATCTTTGTTAATGAACACAGTCTGGTTTTCTGACTTTGTGACGTTTCCCACCATACCAAGTCATTTGAAATTTGGGCTTCCATACAGACAGGTGAAGTAGTTTGTGGTAAGTTGGCAGAAAGGATACTGGGGTATCCAGGTCTTCAAATACTTGATTTCAGTAAGGTAGCTGTGTACCATTTTCCTTCTGCTTGTTTTGCTGTTGAAAGAGGAACAGCCAGATTTCTTCTGCTGCTGATGCCTATAAAATTCTGACTCGCAGAACTGCTTTTCTAACCACTGCTGGGAAATGAGTTCAGTGGGGTGGTTGATGGAGCAGCTGCTCCCTGTGCCTTGCCCATCTGAGAAGATTATTCTGCTGTCAGTTGATTTGCCTTAACTGCCTACCCCAAGTTCTTCCACTGTCCTTACATGGATCATCTTCTGGTGAATTTGCGAAGCCTTATACCTTGGATCCATTAGTGAAGCAGACTTTCTTGTGCACACTTAATTTGTTGTGCCCTCACGAGAACAGTTCTGTGCTACCCACGGCTTATGATTAGTCTGGCTTTTGAAGGCTGATTCAGCAGACATATCTCCTATAGTAGTCTCAAGTGCAGCAAGTATTATGCATATCTGCTGTATCAAATTCCATGGAGCTTGTGGGTGGTTTGAAAATAATGTGAGCTAAGCAGTTTTTGAGCACAGCTTGTTTCTGTAGATGAAGGCACAATAGCTTCTACAAAGTGCATATTTTTAATTTTTTTTGTCATGTACACTAATCAGGAGCTTAGAAGTAGGAAGTTTCAGTGAGAACCACTCTTTCTTTATGATCTGGGTGAACTGAGAGAACTCAGTTTGCAGTGTTCAGGAATTACTGGAAAACATTTAAGTACAAGATTTGTAACGTTTGAAAGACAGTGCCATGACAGAGATGTACAGCAAGTTTTAATAATTTTATATGTGTATAGATCTACACAGGTGTAGTGATTCCACTCTATAGCATGAAGAGCTTAAGGTTTGTCTCAGGTTATACTGAACTTCTCAAAAAAGAGCTAGTAGCCCTGGATAGTGAAGAAATACCTCAAAGTGATTTTTTATTTTAAATTTTAATATGATGGATGATGACATAGTATTTTCTTTTATGTAAGATCAGTGGTTCCACAAAAGGGTGCTTGCATCATAAGTGTTGTGGTAAATGACTTAAAAAAAAAAAAAACAAAAAAACCTGACTTTCTTTTCTAAGTTCAGGTTTGTAGTTTTAGAAGGGGTATTGCTGCTGTTTAGCATTGTTGTCATCACTAGCGTTTACTGCTGAAGGGAAGCTGTTTATCATGTCCTTTCCTATTTTTTTTTTCTTTTTCAAAAAGAAAAGGGAAAGCTTAATGTGCAGACAGCATATTGTTCCCCTCACGTGGAACCTGTGAACAAATAATACCAGTGGCAGGAAGGGCACAACTCACGATAGTATGACAGGGACTTGTCCTACAGCCTCCCCGTGATCTTAATGCAATGAACAGTAGAGGGGAATGCAGCATGGGTAGTGAATCTTGGTAATTTTTCCTTATTTTACATATCCATTAGCTCCATAGCTGCTGAGTCTTTTGAGAGAGGAGCTGAAGGCAGGCGTGGTATAGCCTGAGTAGTGTTCCTGAAGGTAGAGGCACACTGCCAGTGCTCAGTTCTGTATACATCTCTTTTGCTGTCTTGTTAAATGCAGTAGTTTGCATGGAACACCTTGTGCTCCTTCAAAGAATCTACACCTAAGAGTACTTAACAATTCCCTGTGTTACCTTTGCATCCGACTGCAGATGTGTCAGCCTTTCTGCTGAAAGCGACAGAATCTGGAGGTAGTAGAGGGCAGAATTGCAAGCTTGCTTGTGTTTATAATCCAGTTGGTTTGTAATGCTTCTCTGTAACCAGCTGATGTTTCTTCTTTGAGCAACAGTCTTTGATGGGTGTTTGACATTTTTGCTTTTGCTGATGCTGACACCTGACACTACCATTGGCCCTTTGATTGCTTTTGCAAAAATCATGGAGTTGCCTCTAATACACACCATTTTTTGTGAATCTGACATATCTTTTTTTTTTTCCCCGCGTATAGGTGACTTGTGAGAAGAGGCTGTTATTTTAGCACAGGGATGCAAGAGGAATTCAGAAGGAATGCCTGTTACAGCAATGTTGTAGGTGCGTGGATGGGCAGTTCTTAGGAGCAGTAGGGCAGCAACTTTCAGTAGAACAATAGGTGATAAAGCACATGTTAAAGAGGCAGAACAACCTGGCCTCTTGGGCTGAGAAAAGCAAAAGTTGATATTGGAGGGCCGTATTTGGGGGATCAGAATTGTCTGTCAGGGACAAATGTCCCATTAGAGGCATGGCCTGCATAACATAGGAGCAGCACCATGCCCTTTAACATGTACCCTGGTCCTAAAATCAGTTGCCTTTTTGCATACCAAAGGACAATATACTGGCAGAAGAATAAGTTCAGTGTATATAACTGAGGTACCTCCTTAGTTTTGTGAACAGTGTTATTTGATTCAAGAGATGACTGAACCAGCAGAGCAGCAGCTGGCAAGACAGGCCAGGAAGGGCTGAACCCTATGTCTGCTTGAAGGAGGGACAAATACTGTTTCAGTGAAAACAGTTCAGCCTTTTGCTAGGCATTAGAGACAAAAAGTATACGTAGAGGTCTTTGTAATCTGAGCAAACAAGTGCTTGGCCATAACATTATATAAGCATAAACATGAAATCTTTGTAGTGATCTCAGCAGCATACTAACCTAGAGGCTTCTGAAAGTGTTGTCTTTTGATTACTTTCTATTTTGTTAAAAATGGTCAGTCCACTCAAGTTTCTTAAGGATCTGCTTTGTAGAGTAAGTTCTTTCTGAACCAAGAAAGGTGTATTGGCAGTGCCTAATTGCTATATTAATTTGGAGGTGATGGTTATTTCCATATTCTGATGAGTCAGACCCTGGTTATCTGAGTCCGTCTAGCCCAGATACCTCAGTTAGCCAAGTGTTAGTACTGATCACAGAGGTTTGACGTGAAAATATAAGTCTTCAAGTGTTGGTGCACCGGTTATGCTCTTAGCACATAAATCTTTCTGTACATTGGCAGATAAATGAACTTGGTGACCTACTAGGTCTTTTCCATCTCTCTCTTACATGATTGTCCATGTTGAAGCCCTAGAGCATCACCGTTGTTGGCTCCTTCTGAGCCAGCTGGCCTCAGGGAAGGAATCTGTCTGTCAGTGACTAGGAGAGCTCGCCAACTGGCCATGAGTTGTGTGCTGGCTCAGGAGACCCCTCCTTCATACTTTTATAGCCTCCAGAAATGGGCCTCTCTATTACCTGAACCCGTGATTGTTTGGAGATTGCTGGGCTTTCCAATGACCCAGGGATAATAGCCTTGTGCTTTATAGTGTTCTGCTGCCCTTTAAATTTGAAGTGCAGCGAGTGCAAAGTGTGGCAGTACTTGAAATAGCAGGAAGTGGAGTCAGCCGGGGATCTCTGTAGAGGTCAAAAGCAAATGGGGTGCAGTCTCAGCATACCATGCTGCTGGACCAGTGTATCCATTTGCAGCCTTCACAGTAACTTAAATATGCTCTGTCCTATTGCAGCTAAAGGGGAAAGATAACCGTGGCATTACAACTGGCATTCTGCCTGTGAGATGGATCCCATGCGTGGTGTGAGGCTTTCAAGCAGAGGGAGCACATGTCTCCCCTGTCATCAGTGCACTGAGATTAAGATAGTGTGCAGCTCATGAGCTGAGAGTGTGAATTGCCACTGTATGAATATTTATCCTTTGCTCCTCTGGGCCCAACATAACAATGGCTTCTAGGACATTACTACAGTGGAAGAAGAAGCCTTTGAATCCAAAATACCATCTTTTCTTTTTGGTGTTCCAGGCGTTACAGAGGAAAGGGTAAATGTGTGAAGAGATGAATCTCTTGTAAAAAGGGTGAAGAGATAAGTAGGTTAGATAAACAAGAGGATAACAGAAGTAGGAGAACAAACAAATGAAAAATATGTAAAGAACGTGAAGAGAGAAGCTGATATCTGGAGAAATGGCCATATTCTCAGAAATGACTAGGAGTTTTGGGATACTCCCCCAGTCTCACTTTATTTCTCATGAGGATTAAGCTTCTGGGAATATAAACCACTATTGGAAAGGCTCTTCTGGATTCCTGACATACTAGGAGAAGCTTCTCATTGTCACTGAAACTATACAATATTGGGAAATACATATGTGGGTTGCCTGTGTGCTATCCTTATAGGATCCTTAGGGAAGCAAGATGAAGGTGCATTGACAGTAAGGAGCCAGGTGGAATGTGATGTACTTTCAACTTCAAGACCACAGAAGGAAGAGTACTGAGTTTTGAAGTGCCTGGTCGCAAAGGCCTAACAGACAAGTAGCTGTGCAGAGTCAGAATGAAGGTTTATACAGCCTTGTGTGAAGATCTTGGAATCTGATTTACAGATCTGTATTTATTACCCCCCTCCCCTTCCTGTGGTGATGTGTAAGATTCCTTCTGTCAACAGGTGCTCTGAGAATATCTTTCTATGTCTTGTGAGCAACAAAAGCTGTCTGATATGTCTTATATGCCACAATAATATCTAGACTTACTGTGATATGAAGCACTTTTGGATGCTGAGTTCATATTCAAGGAAAACCACAGTCAGCTTACATCAGGGTATGTTAGTGTATGACCGTGTCTTTGAATAGCTAATTTCTGTGCACCACACTCTGTACTGCCCTGATACCTGGTGATTAAATAGCATTCTTTAAAGTGGCACTAATATTGTGCATCTTCTGGCAGAAGTTCTTAAAATCTGCACCGATTGTAGTTGTTCAGTAAGAGGTAAGTATGCCCCTTAGGAGAGCTGCAAGGGAAAACAGCTTATCTGCACACACCTGAAACTGGAAGAGACAATTCACTGGAACTTAATTGGCTGCATGCTGGAAAGACTAATGATGATTCTGCATTCCATTGGCAAAGAAATGAGGTAGATGGCAAAAAAAGCTCTTATTATAGTGCCTGGGTAGTAGAAATTTATGAGAAGCTTGTTCCGCTTTTGCAACCCGTGATGTCATTTCAAAATCTTGCCTTAAGGATTTTAAGAAAGAAAGCTGCAATACTGTATGTAAGCTAAAGAAAAGGACACCTGCACCAAATCTGACAATGACTTAGTTTCTATCATGTCACATCCTAACTACTGCAAATGTTGCTGTAAAAGAGTAATTTAATCTTATTTGCAGCATTTTCATAGTAAAAGGGTGTAGAGTGGGAAAAGGAAGGAGAAGCAGCTATTTCATGTTGATATAATACTGCTAGTAGTAGTGTTTGACTAGCCCTGAGCACTGAGCTTAGATTTCATAAGGTTTTTACTATAACCCTAAAATTTGTCATGCGTCATGTCAGCTATTTCAGATCCCATCCATGTGTATGTCATGTAGAATTGTTTTAGGCAGTTATTAAGAACAGATTTCATCTGTCATTTTGTCATGATATTGTTAGTCATTGGTAACTCTTGTCAAATAGTTTTCGTTTTTTACTTTCTTGAATAACTTGGAGACATCCACAAACTTTGATGTTTGACTTCAAAGTAACGGTCATTTCATCCTTTTCCTGGATCATTTGGTAGTGTGTTGGACAGCAACAGCTATAGATCTAGAACAAGTTTCTACAGGACTTCACTGAATCTCTCCTTTGAAAAAACTACCCTCTTACTTTTCTTAAACCTTATTTCTGCTGACCACCCCTACTACCCCTCTGCCCAGGACACTTCTAGTCTTCATCCAGAGCAATGTCAATGAGGAAATTTTCTTTGAATTCAAGAAGACTTTTTTACAATGATCACTTGTGCCTGCACGTGCAACTGTTTCTTCAGAGATCTCTAGTGTATGAAGAGCACGTGTCCTTCTACAAAACCTGTTTCGGTCTTTCTGCAAGAAGAGAGGTCATTAGATTGTTGGCAGTAAGGGGCATTCAAAAACTGCGATTTCAATGGCAATTAAAAACTAAGATTAATGAAAAACTAATTGTGAAACTGGATTCTGTACTTTTTTGTTACAAAACTCTGGCTTTAAGAAACACACCAAATATTGGGGCATTGACAACAGGAACTCTCCATTAATTTCAGATGCTTATTTTAAAATGTTTTAGTTTTTGACTTGGTATTTGAATGCCAAGTCCAAAATTTCAGCACTAAACCGTTTTCTAGTTGTTCAGCCTCCTGGCTGAAGCAACGGTTACTTTAGTTTACACTTCCCTAGCTTCTGTGTATCTGAGAGGATTTTGTCCATAAGAGTGCATTACCAAGAAAGCTCTATACTAGAGGGCACAAAAAGCATAGAACCTTCTGAATCTGATACAGGAGATGATGGTATGTCATCCTCTAGATATATATTTTTTCCTTCCTCCCATAATTCCACACCTATAAGAGCTACACGGGATTACTTAGGAAGTCTGCATCCATTCAGTATCTGCTGGGGAAGTGGTACCGTGGTTTCTCCATGTTGTTTTGAAGTTGTTTTAGGGGAATCACTTTATTCAGTCTTGTTCTGTTTCAAAAGACAGGAGGTATCTCCCTCCATTCTCTCCTAAATGCTAATGATATTAAAAAAGAAACACAAGCCAACAAACCCAAACAACAACAACAACAAAAAACCCAAACAAACAACCAAAACAAAAAACCCCAAGCAAACAAGGATTGAAAGATAGATCGGATCTACTTAAAGGTGATTTTTTGCTACCTGGCCCTGTTTGTTGAACTACTGACCTGGAACTCAAAGACCTCAGTAGTCCTTTGAGCTGTCTGTCCCCTGTGGATGGAACAGCAGATACCAGTAGCAATGACTGGCGTGCAGGAGGATTTTTTGATGAGAAACTACTGTGCAGTGAAAACTAGTCCTATGAAAATGCGTTCCATGGTAGCAGAGCAGCAATTAATTCCTGTCTCTCCCCACTGGGAGATGACTAATATTTAGGTTATTGCCAGACTTTTAATAAAAAATAAAATGCAAACCCATTCCAAGAGACTGAGGTTCTGATGAGCTTTCTCATTAAATCATATTTTTTATTATTTTACATATTATATATAGGAAGCTGTTTTAATTATTTCGATACCTGCAATTAGAAGCAATGCCATGAGACTACTGTAACATTTGGAGTGGAGATGTACTCAA